TTCTTGAGGAAGCGGGCCAACTTTTTATGATATCTCTCTGCGGAACTTTTAAAGGGTGGAGCAATAAGTAGCTTGCTAGCCGATGGTTCGTACTTGCTATTTATTAGTCGAACCACCTTCAAGAATCTCCATTTTTCATAAAAAGTGAACTCAGAAGAACTAATGTGCACTGGCGCTTTCTTGTATTTAGTAACCTGTTTTTATGCAGGATTGCCCGGATGCAGTAAACGGCACGGGGCAAATATTTCGGATAAGACCGATTGCGCTGCTCGTTCCTAAATCGTCAGTGATCAGCAATGTTGCCTCTGTAAGTTCATTGTTTTCTGGAAAGTACACTTAAGCTGTTCTCTTTGCTCGCTGTGCTGCTTATGAGGCGTGTCTGTTTCTAAATAACGTCGAAGACTAAGCAACAATGATCCAGACCCGGACGATCTTTGTGATTTTATCCGTTGCTGTGGACAGGCCCCAAATTGCCGAAACTCGATAGAGCCACGAGAGAATTCAATTTCATTTCGCTGCACTTTAGAGGCAGCAAAATTGCCCCGCTTTGGTCTGCTGATTTCAAAAGAATGGGTTTGGGAAAGAAACCGACCGCAAAAACTGTTTGAGATGCAGCAGCTTTGGAAGGATTCCATGCAGCAATATTTACGGGAAGCTTCCACACATTGAGCGCGGCTACGCCAGCTCCCCTTGTCCCGGGCTGCATTAGTAAGCACCGTCTGTTCGATGTATTTGCGCAGCCGTTCGTGTGATCGTTTTGCTTTTTGGCGAGTACCAGCTACGACTGTCAACTATGCGAGCAACATTCCCCTGCCCGCTAAAATTTTTCTTTTACGCTCTATTCCGAAGAAATGCATTAAGAAAAGCAACAATCAAATTTTCCGATGAGCAACTCGCTCATCTGATGCGCAGTCTGATTGTTTATATGGTCAAAAGCAAACACTTCAAGCATTCTTCATTCCACTGCTTTCTCTCTCTCTCTCTCTTCCTCTGGTACAAGGTAATATAGTCACTAGTAAGCTTCGATGGTCAGGAGAACTTAAAACCATATGTGAGATGCGTATAAGGTTTCAAACAAACAGTGTAAAAATTACAGATTCGTGGTGCTCCTTTCTATCGGGAGTATTCGGATCTGGCGATTTTCGAAGTGGAACCAGTGGATAAACTGGAAGTGGATGCCGACGGTGACCCAGAGCTTACTTATAATCTTAAAATTGAACCTGTATGCCTGGAGGCATCGAACATTACACCGCCAATGGTTTATACCATTGCTTCGTTCGGTCGTAGAAGTTAGCTTTTTCTTCCTGCTGCCTTTTACAGTCTTCTACGAAAACTTAATCCAGTGGTGCGGACATGCGAAAACTGTGAAGTTTTGGCTGCCCTTCTTATGATCTTTGTTATGAGGGTTTCGAGCTGCGAATGTGGGGCTCTACCGGCAATGATTCGAACAAAAACATTTTGCTGTGAGGAAGTCAGTCTTAGCGGTACTTTGCAGTAAAGCTCAAAAACTGCCATTGAAAAGACAACCCTAATTGGTTTGGTTGGGCCATATTTAGAAATCAGAACTAATTGAAAGAGGATGTTTTCGTCGATGCGCAGTTCCTCTCATCGATATTCCCCGATTTCGGACTTGCACGTACCCTTCTTCAGCGACAGTCATCTTCTCTTGGTTTGCTGAAGAAGTCGGGGTACGTGCAATTCCGAAATCGGGGAACATCGGCGAGCAGAAGCGACAAGTCGGCAGACCTGAACGGGTGAAAATGTCAGTGCAAAACGTGTCCAATCTCGAATACTGAAATATTCAGAAATGAGAATGCATGCACTGGAGGGAAGTAGCTGTCCCTTAGCTGCAACA